CTAGAAGCTAGTTGAAGTGAATGGGAGAGGCTGTATCTTTTTGCTTCTTGACCGGAGAAGACGATGATTCGGTGTCAGTGATTATTGCTTGTGCAGCTGTTTTGAAGCCGTGAATCCCATGAGCTTGTTTCTCGAATTCTGGAGAAAACGATGATCTCACGTTGGTGCTCTTAGTCTATAAAACAAAATTGTTTAAAAGACTGCATGAGTCGGAAAACCATCTTTGCTTCATAACACTGAGTGATCACACTGTTTTCATTTTGTGTTTCTTTATATACCTATATCTAAACCGCACCTAGCCAAACGGAAACTTGTTTCATATCTTTTGCAATTTCACCAGAGTGACAGAGTACATGATATCCCCGTCCTATTTGACAATCGTGACGGATGTGTTGCTGACGCCCAACCAAAATTCCATTAATTCTTACAGTTAATTAGCACGCCCACATTTGCCAGATAACAGGTAACCGTGTTCGAAGCCGTAAGAGTCTGTGTAAGAGGTAAGTAGGTTGTGGAACTCCATGCCGTAGAGATACTGGACACTACTTTAAGTATACAAACAATACCTCACTATATCCTGCCGCAGACACTCCCTGCACATTGAGGCGCTGATACTGCACGTCAATACAGTAAAGGTGTCAACAGCTCTTTATAATGGCTCTGATGGCCAGACCCCGACACAGTCATCCATTCATCTCATCCTTCACCCCAATCATCCACCATCTGCACACCACCCCACCAGCTCTGCTCCTCCCCCATCCACCCACACACCTCATATAACTGACCACCGGCCGTCCACCACCACCCCACCACCACACACACACCCACCCCATCCATCCACCAACCACCCCACCACCCCACCACCACACACACCCCACCCACACCACATCTCACCACCACCACCACCACCAATTAAAGTGTTTAGTGAAGAGTGTGCAGGAGGCAATGATACATGGGTGTAGGAGTGAAGAGCTTCTGATAAGTTTGAAGACAGCTATGGAGCGTATTAGACTATGGAGGATCTTATCATGTGGTGTCCTGCCTAGATGGAGAGTTAGTTAAATGAATGGTTGGGTTTGATGCAGTTGGTGTCAACCTGTCTTGTCGGATATTAAGTTTCAATACGTCCCATCTGGTTGACAACTGGGGCAATTCTCATTGCAGTGGACCTTCATGTTGGGGTGTGACCTGTCTGTGACAGGTTGGCAGCCTGGCTGTGTCTTAAAGATATTTGTGTCTTTAAACTGCTTTGAATATATGGGCACGTGGAGGAGACTGCAGGAGTGGTTAAACAAAGGAAAGATCAGGAAATGGTGTTAGGAATGATGACAAACTAAATTAGATAGAGTTTAAACCAAATGGGTAAGGGAGTGACTCAGAATTGTTTATTTTAACTTAAATGTTGATTGATGAATAGTAGAGGTATGAGAAACAAAATGGATGATGTTAGGGCTTTAGTATGTACGAAAAATTTGATATAATAGTTATTCATTGAAACGTGGATCAATCCTAGACTTCATGAGTTAATTGTCGAATACCAAATTATTGGGGTAACAAATTGTTCATACCGATAGGCAGACCAGAAAGGAGTAGTGGAGTAGCAATTGAGTCAGGATAATTTGAAGTGAAATAAATAAGGAAATAAAACTGAGCGGAATACAGAAACAATTTGGATAGAATTAATCGACGTAGGGAAATTAATCACAGGAGTAATATATAGATCTCCAATCTTGATAGAGTAAATCACGACTTATGTGGGATGAATATGTAGGGCTTACACACAACAAAGTTTGTATTGTGGTGTGACTTTAACCTAGGGCAAATAGATTAGACTGACTTTACGGGTAATCAACTGTAGATTTTCTCGAAAGTCTGGACTGTTTCCAAGTTAATATATAAATCGAACCTCACCTGGGGTATTATTGTTTTATTTATTCTTGTCGAACAGAGAAAACCTATTAGTAATGTCGAGGTAGGGAACGAGCTTGGTAAACAGCGATCGTTAAAGAAATTAGATTTCAGTTGTTTTCTTTTCGTGGCAGATATAAGGAAAATTCCATTAAAGTACCAGATTTTCAGAAGGGCAAACTTTACAGTTTGAAGAGGCAGCTGAGGGAGGGTGATACGCTTTGGGAGTGAGCTGATGACTGCATGAGGTGACTCTAACCAATTACAGAGGGCGACCTCATCGGACTCAGGAGACCTGATGGGTTGAGACTGACCTGATAACGAGATCTGAGATTGTTGAGTTGCACGACAATTCTAAATAATGAGTTACTTAATGCAATAAAGGCAGAACATACCATACAAAAAACTCAGATAAGACAACAATGACTCCTAAATGGATAAATAATTATTTGAAGAAGGTTGCATCGATAAGGTTATAGGTGGTAGTTGGATAAATGTATAAATTTATTTGGTGATTATTAAGGTATTGATATGGGTTATAACGATAAGTGAAGTTTTTTAAGAGAATAATGAGTGTATGATTAGAGTTGAGGAGTGCTTAATATTAAACCCAAAGGATTTACCAAATGTATTTAAACTAAAACACGAGAAAGGTTTGGACCATTTAGGTCAGATACTCTATGAGCTTATCGATAACGATGGAGAAATGAGTAAATAATTGAATAAATATTTTTCAACAGTTTTTATCATTGGTAATTAAACATGATGACCTGGGGTGAATTTAATTTATTCAGAGATAGTTGTTAAATATACAAAAAATGATGTATGTGTGTGTGTTTTTTAGGGATATTTGTATGTCTATGGAGTGTGAGTTATAGAGTGTATGTACTGTATATGTATGTGTATGTTTGTGTTTTTTATATTTGTGGATGTGTATTTGTTTGTTTTGTTTGGTGTGTATAAGAGTTTACACTCAGGCCTGATGGTATGATTGGTGCTGATCAACCACCTGTTAACTACACTCTGTATCAAGGTAAGGGCGTCATATTATCAATACTACACTGTCACGCATCATTATTGTCAATATTCGTGCTTCCATTTTCTGTTTATTTGTGAAGAGAGAGGGGGACTCATGAATATTGTTTTTACTTTAGTTATTTGTCGGATTCTTGTCCTGATCATAGGCAATGACGGGCTGCACTCTCTCACACTATGAGTGATAACAGTGAACTCTTAACATGGTAGGAACTTTTATATCGTGAACAAAGAGATTGAATAAAATGAACTGCTGAATCTCTCGATACAGCGTGGGTGTTCAGTAGAGAGGCTTGGCAAAACCTTGAACCTGAACTTGAACTATAAGGAGTAACTGTATCCGCAATATTTCACGTAACGACCATAAATGTCCTTCCTCCTTCCCTCCTTCCTCCCCAATCCTTCCCATCTCCTTCTTTGGTCATTAGATCGTCATCTCTCTGTTCTACTTCTGTCCAAGATTATTTTATATCACTTGGATCTTTCCTCTCTCATATGTTGTTTTTCAAATCAATACCTTATCCGATTTAACCCTCATTCGTGTTATTCTTCAACCTGACACACCCATAACATTACCTCCTAACACACCATAACACTACCTCTCAATACATAACACCTCCTGCTTTCTTTTTCTCTATTACACATAACATGCCCCTAACACACCATAACACCACCTCCTAATACACCATGCAACACCACCTCTCAACACACCATAACACTACCCCCAACACACTGTAACACTACCCCCAACACACCATAACACTACCCGTAACACACCATACAACACTACCCCCAACACACCATAACACTACCCCCAACACACCATAACACCTCCCCAACACACCATAACATTACCTCCAACACACCATAACACTAACTCCTAACACACCACAACACTACCTCCTAACACACTATAACACTACCCCAACACAACATAACCACCCCTAACACACCAACACTACCCCAACACACTATAACACTACCCTGCAACATGAACACTACCCCAACACACCATAACACTACCTAACACACTATAACACTACTCCCAACACAACTTAACACTCCCCAACACACCATAACGCCACCAAACACACAATTCAAACACTGTTCCCCTAACACACCATAACACTACCCCAACACACTATAATACTACCCCAACACACCATAACACTACTCTCCCAACACACACCATAACACTACCCCCAACACACCATAACACTACCCCTAACACACCATAACACTACCCCAACACTCCATAACACTACCCCTCAACACACCATAACACTACCCCCAACACACCATAACCCACCTCCCCAACACACCACAACACTACCCCAACACCTACAACACCACTCCCAAACACACCACAACACCACCTCCAACACACCACAACACCACCAACACTGCCCCAACACACCATAACACCACCTCAACACCCACAACACCACCCCAACACACCAATAACACCACCCCCAACACACCATAACACTCCCAACACACCACAACACTACCTCCCAACACACCATAACACTACCCCTAACACACCATAACACTACCCCAACACACCATAACACTACCCCCAACACCCATAACACCACCCCCCAACACACCATAACACTACCCCCCAACACACCATAACACTACCCCAACACCCATAACACTACCCCCAACACCACAACACCACCCCCAACACCTACAACACTCCACACCCAACACTACCCCCAACACCCATAACACTCCCAACACACCATAACACCACCCCAACACCTATAACACTACCCCCAACACACCATAACACTACCCCCCAACACACCACAACACTACCCCCTAACACCCATAACACTACCCCCAACACCCACAACACTACCCCCAACACACCATAACACTACCTCCTAACACTCCATAACACTACCCCCAACACACCATAACACTACCCCCTAACACTCCATAACACTACCCCCCAACACTCCATAACACTACCCCCAACACACCACAACACCACTCCCAACACCCATAACACCACTCCCAACACACCATAACACCCCTAACACACCATAACACCACCCCAACACCCACAACACCACTCCCAACACACCATAACACCATCCCAACACACTATAACACCACCCCCAACACCTATAACACTACCTCCTAACACTCCATAACACCACCTCAACACTCCATAACACCACCCCCACACACCATAACACCACCTCTAACACTCCAACACTACCTCCCAACACACCACAACACTACCCCCCAACACTCCATAACACTACCCCAACACACCATAACACTACCCCTAACACCCATAACACTACCCCCAACACACCATAACACTACCCCCCAACACTCCATAACACTACCCCCAACACCCAAACACCTAACACACCATAACACTACCCCAACACCATAACACTACCTCCCAACACACCATAACACTACCCCCAACACTCATAACACTACCCCCAACACCCATAACACCACCTCCCAACACACCATAACACTACCCCCAACACTCCATAACACCTCCAACACCCATAACACCACCTCCAACACTCCATAACACCACCCCAACACACACCATAACACTAACCCTAACACACCATAACACCACCTCCCAACACACCACAACACTACCCCCCAACACACCATAACACCACCCCAACACCCAACACCCCCCAACACACCATAACACCACCCCAACACTCCAACACCACCTCCCAACACACCATAACACTACCCCTAACACCCAACACCACTAACACCATAACACTAACACACCATACCACTCTAACACTATAACACTACCTCCCAACACACCATAACACTACCCCCAACACACCATAACACCACCCCAACACACCATAACACTACCCCTAACACACCATAACACTACCCCAACACACCATAACACTACCCCCAACACTCCATAACACTACCTCCCAACACACCACAACACTACCTCCCAACACCCATAATACCACCCCAACACCTCAACACTACCTCCCAACACACCATAACACCACCTCCCAACACACCATAACACTACCCCTAACACACCATAACACTCACTCCAACACACCATAACACTACCCCCAACACTCCACAACACTACCCCAACACACCATAACACTCCCCAACACCCATAACACCACCTCCAACACCCATAACACCACCCCAACACCATAACACCACCCCCCAACACCCATAACACTACCCCCAACACCCATAACACCACCCCCAACACCCACAACACTACCCCCCAACACACCAATAACACTACCCCTAACACACCATAACACCACCCCCTAACACACCATAACGCCACCCCCCAACACACCATAACACTACCTCCTAACACTCCATAACACTACCTCCCCAACACACCATACACCCCCCAACACTCCATAACACTCACTCCCCAACACACACATAACACTACCTCCCAACACACCATAACACCACCCCAACACACCACAACACACCCCCAACACCCATAACACCACCCCCAACACTACAACACTACCTCCCCAACACTCCATAACACTACCCCACACCATAACACCACCCCAACACACTAGCTAACACTAACTCTAACACCCATAACACTACCCCCCAACACACCATAACACCACCCCCAACACACCATAACACTACCCCCTAACACACCATAACACTACCCCCAACACACCATAACACTACCCCCAACACACCATAACACTACCCCCAACACACCATAACACTCCCCCAACACACCATAACACCACCACTCCAACACACCAAACACCACCCCCAACACTCCATAACACCACCCCCAACACACCATAACACCACCCCAACACACCATACCACCTCCCAACACCCATAACACACCCCCCAACACCCACAACACTACCTCCCAACACACCATAACACCACCCCAACACACCATAACACTCACCCCAACACACCACAACACCAACCCTAACACCTACAACACCACCCCAACACCCATAACACCACCCCAACACACCATAACACTACCTCCCAACACTCCATAACACTACCCCAACACACCATAACACTACTCCCAACACACCATAACACTACCCCAACACACCATAACACTACCCCCAACACCCATAACACTACCTCCCAACACCCATACAACACTACCCCAACACCCACAACACTACCTCCCAACACACCATAACACTACCCCTAACACTCCATAACACTACCCCCAACACCCATAACACTACCCCAACACCTACAACACTAACCCCAACACACCACACCACCCCAACACACCATAACACTACCCCAACACACCATAACACCACCCTAACACACTTCATAACACTCACCCCTAACACACCATAACACTACTTCCCAACACACCATAACACTCACCCCCAACACCCATAACACTACCCCCAACACACCATAACACTACCCCCAACACACCATAACACCTCCCCAACACAACAACACTACCCCTAACACTCCATAACACCTACCCCAACACCCATAACACTACACACCATAACACTACCTCCTAACACTAACACTACCCCAACACACCATAACACCACCCCAACACACCATAACACTACCCCTAACACACCACAACACCACCCCCAACACACCATAACACCACCCCAAACACACCATAACACCACCTCCCAACACACCATAACACCACCCCCAACACACCATAACACTACCCCTAACACTCCATAACACTACCCCCACACCCATAACACTACCCCCCAACACACCATAACACCACCTCCTACCACCAACACCACCTCCCAACACCCATAACAACCCCACCATAACACCACTCCCAACACCCATAACACTACCCCAACACACCATAACACTACCTCCCAACACACCAAACACTACCTCCCTAACACACCATAACACCACCCCTAACACCTACAACACTACCTCCCAACACCTACAACACCACCCCCAACACACCACAACACTCCTCCACCCTAACACACATAACACTACCCTAACACACCATAACACTACCCAACACACCACAACACTACCCCCAACACTCCATAACACTACCTCCTAACACTCCATAACACTACCCCTAACACCCATAACACTCCCCTAACACACCATAACACCACCTCCCAACACTACAACACTACCTCCTAACACTACCATAACACTACCCCAACACACCATAACACTACCTCCCAACACTCCATAACACTACCCCCAACACACCATAACACTACCCCTAACACCACAACATCACCTCCCAACACCTATAACACTACCCCCAACACACCATAACACCACCTCCTAACACACCATAACACTACCCCCAACACACCATAACACTACCCCTAACACACCATAACACTACCCCCAACACACCATAACACTACCCCTAACACACCATAACACTACCCCCCATACACACCATAACACTACCCCAACACACCATAACACTACCCCTAACACCTACACATCACCTCCAAAATATCTACAACACCATCCCCAACACCTATAACACTACCCAACACCTATAACACTACCACCCCTACACCTATAACACTACCCCTAACACTCATAACATTCTAACACACTATAACACCAATTCCCCAACACTCCATATAACACCACCCCCAACACACCATAACACTACCTCCCAACACACCATAACACTCCTGCAACACCCATAACACCACCCTAACACACCATAACACCACCCCAACACCCACAACACTACCCTAACACCCATAACACACCAACACACCATAACACCACCTAACACACCACAACACTCACCAACACCAACACCACCCCTAACACCTACAACACCCTAACACACCATAACACCACCCCCAAACACACCATAACACCACCCTAACAACTACAACTACCTCCCAACACACCATAACACCACCCCAACACACCATAACACCACCCCCCAACACACCATAACACCACTTCCCAACACCCATAACACCACCCCAACACACCATAACACTACCTCCCAACAACACACTATAACACCCCAACACAACTCAACACCAGTGAAACACCACCTCCCAACACACCACAACACTACCCCCAACACACCATAACACCACCCCCAACACACCATAACACCACCCAACACACCATAACACCACCTCCCCAACACACCATAACACTACCCCCACACCATAACACCACCCCAAACACACCATAACACTACCCCAACACCATACACCACTCTAACACACCATAACACCACCCCCAACACACCATAACACCACCTCAACACACACTATAACACTACCCCCAACACACCATAACACCACCTCCCAACACACCATAACACTACCCCCAACACACCACCTCCCAACACACCACAACACTCACTCCCCAACACCCATAACACCACCCCCAAACACACCATAACACCACCTCCCACACACCATAACACTACCCCACACCATACGCCCCCAACACACACCATAACACTACCCCCAACACAACTATAACACTACCCCAACACACCATAACACTCCCCACACCACAACACTCACCCCCTAACACACCATAACACTCAATCCAACACACCATAACACCACTCCCAACACACCATAACACCACCCCAAACACACTATAACACTAACCCCAACACACCATAACACTACCTCCTAACACACCATAACACCACCCCCCAACACCCATAACACTACCCCAAACACACCATAACACTACCCCAACACACCAACATCTACCCCAACACACCATAACACTACCCCTAACACCCATAACACTACCCCAACACCACTATAACACTACCCCCAACACACCATAACACTACCTCCCAACACACCATAACACCACCCCCAAAACCACCATAACACTACCCCCAACACACCATAACACTACCTCCCAACACACCATAACACTACCCCAACACACCATAACACCACCCTAACACACCATAACACCACCCCTCAAACACACCATAACACTACCCCTAACACCCATAACACTACCCCTAACACACACCATAACACTCACCATAACACACCATAACACTCACGATAACACACCATAACACTCACCATAACACACCATAACACTCACGATAACACATCATAACACTCACGATAACACACCATAACACTCACGATAACACACCACCAACACTCACTATAACACACCATAACACTCACGATAACACACCATACCTATAACAATCACGATAACACACCATAACACTCACCATAACACACCATAACAATCACGATACTTTTTCCTGCCTCACTATAACACACCATAACACTCACGATAACACACCATAACACTCACGATAACACACCATAACACTCACGATAACACACCATAACACTCACCATAACACACCATAACACTCACCATAACACACCATAACACTAAGATAACACACCATAACACTCACGATAACACACCATAACACTAAGATAACACACAATAAGATAACAGAGCCATGACTTACAGATGATAGTGAGGGTGGTGTTGGCGGTGAGTGGTGAGGAGGAGGCGGGGTTGATCACTTCACACCGCACCACGCCACCGTTATCTGCAGGTACCACCCTGACGGAGGCCCGGGCGAGGCTCACGTCCCCTCGGGTCTGTGTCTCTGCAATAAGCTCCTCCTCTCTCTTGTACAGCCTACAGCAGGGGGGTGGGGGAGGGTTATAGTCTGCTGTAGTGTTGTTTATGACCTTCTTGTTTTGCTCTCTCTCTCTCTCTCTCTCTCTCTCTCTCTCTCTCTCTCCCCACTATTTCCATTGTTGTTATTGTCTCTCGTGTCAGCACTGTTACCTTTACCTTTCACTTCAACCTTATCTTAACTATTATGTAACCAATATATATTAATTATCTTTACATATGTATTTATGGTGTGTGTGTGTGTGTGTGTGTGTGTGTGTGTGTTAATGAAGCTGTCAGTTCCAGTTTAAACTTTACCTGAACTGAGGTGGAGGATGACCGCCTTTACTAGTACAGGTGACCTCGAAGCTCCTGCCGGCCACTATCTGACCCTGTGTGACCACCTCGACCACCGGGAGTCCTGGGGGTCCTGTGGGAGTAAAGGAACTGTCTTAAGGATACTTGCACACACTCACTCACATCCTACACTGTTGTCGCTTCAAGAGGATTTACTAATCAGTCAAGTTCTGTATTGTGAAGATATGAGAAATATTTAGGTCAATTTACTATGATACGAAAACAAAATAAAAAGTGAAAACAACTCACTTATGATGGTGACGTCACGGGTGTGTGAGATAGGGTCGCCGGCCTCCAGATGGTGAGCCTCACACTTCACCGTCGTCTCTCTCGTCTGTCTTGACCTCGTGGCTTCCTGGGTTAATTGGGAGGAGGTTATCCAGCCTCCTCCGTCATCCCGGGTTACCTCCGTGGACGTGGTGTTTACTGGAGTACCTGTAGAGGCGTACTATTAACCCCTTGAGGACTATTATTTGACCCCTGAGTACGATGACTTAACTCCTTGAATACGACGACTTAACCTCTTGAGTACGATGATTTAACCCCTTAAGCATGATGATTTAACCCCTTAAGCATGACGACTTAATAAGAGGTTAAAACTCACCGTACTCCTAAGGCTAAATCATCACACACAAGGGGTAAAGTCATCGTACTCAATGGGTTATGTAGTGGGTGTGGGCATGTCTCTCTGTATGTCAGGACAAAATCTTACCTTACCTAAAACAAGGTCACGTACCGTCCACTGTCCAGGTGATGGTGGCGGGTGGGTTGGCGGGGGTGGTGACACAGGTGAGGGTGAAGGCTTGTCCTGCCGCCACCACTGCCGTTCCACTCACACGCACCTGAGTTGGAGCGTCTGTACGTACGATAGTGTTAAATCAGGGTTATGTTGACAAGATCTTGGACTTATAGGTGTGTGTGGGTGTGGGTGGGTGTGTGTGAGGGGTGTGTGTGGGTGTGGGTGGGTGTGTGGGTGTGTGTGGGTGTGTGGTGGGTGTGTGGGGGTGTGTGTGTGTGTGGGGGTGTGTGTGTGTGTGGGGCGTGTGTGTGTGGGGGTGGGGATGTGTGTGTGTGTGTGTGTGTGGGGTGGGTGGGTGTGGGTGTGTGTGTGTGTGTGTGTGTGTGTGGGGGTGTGTGTGTGTGTGGGTGTGTGGGGGTGTGTGTGTGGGGGGTGTGTGTGTGTGGGTGGGTGGGTGGGTGTGTGTGGTGGGTGGGTGTGTGTGGGGGTGTGTGTGTGTGTGTGTGTGTGTGTGTGGGTGGGTGTGTGAGTGTGTTAATACACCTCTTACTGTACTGTATGCTCACAATAAATATGGCAGGGTGTATGTCAGCATGTAATCACAATGACGTGACCACAATACTGCGTCAGAATACAACATAACTTAAATGAAACATGGAATTCATGATAGTTTAACCTTTGAGGTTGATGGTTGAACACCTTGAGGTTGATGGTTTAACACCTTTGAGGTTGATGGTTTAACACCTTTGAGGTTGATGGTTTAACACCTTTGAGGTTGATGGTTTAACACCTTTGAGGTTGATGGTTTAACACCTTTGAGGTTGATGGCTTAACACCTTTGAGGTTGATGGTTTAACACCTTTGAGGTTGATGGTTCAACACCTTTGAGGTTGATGGTTTAACACCTTTGAGGTTGATGATTTAACACCTTTGAGGTTGATGATTTAACACCTTTGAGGATGATGGTTTAAACCTTTGAGGTTGATGGTTTAACACCTTTGAGGTTGATGATTTAACACCTTTGAGGATGATGGTTTAAACCTTTGAGGTTGATGATTTAACACCTTTGAGGATGATGGTTTAAACCTTTGAGGTTGATGGTTTAACCCTCGTCCACTCCGTATTAAAGGTTTTTTATTTCAAATGTATTGCCCTAAAATCTCACATCCTCTAAGGTGTTGGCCTAAAACGTATTTGTCACTTTTACAATGCTTTCATTATCAAATCTATCGACTTAAACAGTTTTGCCCTAAAATTTATCGACTCTTTAAAGCTGTTTGTTCTAAAATCTATAGACTCTTTTTAAAGTGCCGTGTCGTGAGAGAACAACATTTTCTGTGTCGTGATTTCCGGACACGGCACTAAAGGAAACTTTGGCCAGAACTGTCAACACACTTTCTCGCGCTCGTTAACTGGTGACAAAGACCGAACAAATTGGGTGGGTGGAGAGAGAGAGCGAGAGAGAGAGAGAGAGAGAGAGAGAGAGAGAGAGAGAGAGAGAGAGAGAGAGAGAGAGAGAGAGACAAAAAAATGTTCGTGTCTCGTGAGAAGTAGAACAATGTTGAGGCGACAACATCAGTGAGGGTGGGTCAGTGTTGTGGGCTGAGGCCGAATTTGTGGTGTATTGTATCGATAATCGCCTGGTTCCCGAGTGCTCTTGTTTAGTTCTGCGTTTAGTGACTCTCTCTCTCTCTCTCTCTTTCTCTAAAAAAAAACAAATCCCATCTACACCTGCACACACGGTTGAGATGACAGTAGCTGTAAAAAATGTAAAACAGTAATCAATACACATACTGAGGTGTGGAGAGTTTTAGGTCACGTAATACAGTGAACACCCAAGAATGAACTTACAGTGAACAGTGAGGGTGACGTTAGTGGAGAGAAGGCGGGGGAGGAGGTCACTGGACACCCTACACTCGTACACAGCGCCGTCCTCAGTGCGGGAGGCTGTCACTTGCTGGACCACAGTCACCACGCGGCTCTTCTTGTTGTTCCTAGGCGACGCTTTGGCCTTGAGGTACACGCTCTTCCTGGTCTTGCCCTTGACGGTGTGGTTGTTGGGGTGACCGTGCCAGTACCAGGTGACCCAGGGGTGAGGGTTGCCTCCCACTACCCTGCAGGTGAGGGTACGACGCTCCCCCGCCCGGAGTACCTCACCTGTCTTGTAGCCGTGGATCATGGGTCTACCTGGCGGGTCTGTGGTAGAGAGGGTGTTAATGATGTACAGGTGATGATCTATACTAATAATACGTCGTAGGGTGTAGTACTGGGGGTGTAGTGCAGTACTGGGGGTGTAGTGTAGTACTGGGGTGTAGTACTGTGTAGTATAGTGTACTGGGGTGTAGTGCAGTACAAGTGCAGTACTGGGGGTGTAGTAGTACTGGGGTGTAGTGCAGTACAGTACTGGGGGTGTAGTGTAGTACAGTACTGGTAGCAGTACTGGGGTGTAGTACTGGGGTAAGTACTGTGCACTGTGTGTAGTGCAGTACTGGGGGTGTAGTGCTGGGGTGTAGTGTACTGGGGTGTAGTGCAGTGCAGTACTGGGGGTGTAGTGTAGTACACTGTGTGTGCAGTGCTGGGGGTGTGGTGCAGTACTGGGGGTGTAGTGCAGTACTGGGGTACTGGGGTGCAGTACTGGGGGTGTAGTGCAGTGTGAGTAGTACTGGGGTGTAGTGTAGTGCAGTACTGGGGTGTAGCTGTACTGGGGTAGTACTGTAGTGCTGGGGGTGTAGTGCAGTACTGGGGGTGTAGCAGCACTACTGAGGGTGTAGTGCAGTACTGGGGGTGTAGTGTAGTACTGGGGTGTGGTAGTGTGGGGGGTGTGGTGTGTGTACTGGGGTGTGCAGTGTAGTACTGGGGGTGTACTGGGGTGCTGAGTACTGGGGGTGTGGTGCAGTGTAGTACTGGGTGTAGTGCAGTACTGGGGGTGTAGTGAGTACTGGGGTGTAGTGTGTGGGGGTGGGGGTGTAGTGCAGTACTGTGTGCTGGGGGTGTAGTGTAGTACAGTACTGGGGTGCCTGAGTGCTGGGGTGGTTAGGGGGGCTCTCCAAACATAAACATGACAGCTAATGCCAAAAATACAATAAAATAATATTAATATACCTTTGAGACAAACTATACAACGCAACTCTTTCTTTACATCATAGTTACTGTATTTTTATCTTGTGTAACTAAATTTTCGAGAAAGTTTGTTGTGTTTGTGAAGAAGTATGAGACGGGAAAAAACCCACGGTAAAAGTTATGAATGAAACACACACACACACACACACACACACACACACACACACACACACACACACACACACACACACACACACACACACATTGAAGGGGACTGATAACCTCACTTGGCCAAACTCAATAGAGTTGGTTAGGTTAGGTTATAAATGATGAAATGAACCTCACACGACGTTCCTCCTCCCTCCCAACCCAAATTTCCACCAATAAGAGGCGTGAACTCACAAATGACGTCACAAATTTCCCACCAATAAGAGATGAATCACAAAATGACGTCATGCAGTTATGGCGTTCAGGGTTCTGGTAAATATTAATTTATTGGTTATAAAGGCAAGTCGTAAAGGAGGGTGGTGGGGGGGGTGGGAATGGAGGGGAGAGTTTAAAAGAGTGACATGACCTCTCTTGCTAAAGTGACATGACCTCCCCGCCTCTTCCCTGTACCTCAGTAACATGTTTCCCTTAATGAAATGACCAAAACTTTTGCTCTGGAATGACTCGGAGGCTGGAGTCATCTGGAGTAAGATTCTGCACCAATATTCCTCATTTCTTGTAATATCATTGATTATAGTAATACTTCTCACTTCTAGTTCAGTAATGGCTCATACACGTGTAATACAGAGTAATATCGTTAACACATATAGAATTATTTCATCTGATTGCAGTAATTTAAGGCAGCAATACAAAAATCCATTTACACGTCTTTTTTTAATGATATGAAGTCGGATTTATTTGTGGAATAAAACTATTGCGTTTATCTATTCTATGGCATTCGTGTCCTAGAGGATTTTCTTTCATAGGATGGACACAGATATTATTACCTTGAGTAAAACCTACTGAATACGAGTTAAAGTCCATTTAGTTAACACCCGAGTTAATTTTTTATTTTCCTAGGATGGACGCGATTATTATTGACTCGTTTAAATGACTACGATAAATGGACCCGGTTTTCGTGGCTAATTACTGATATTATTATTATTATTATTATTATTATTTCTACTACAACTACAACTACTACTACAATTACTACTACCAACATTATTACCACCAACAGCCTCATCATCACCACATATCGTCACAGTAGTTTAAAATATTCAGGACAGGAATTTAAATGATCAAATGACACGAAAAAAAAACCCCAACTAAATAATCTAAAAAAATTCTAAAAAAAACCCAGACGAATTAAAATGTTTTATAATTGGACTATGAATGATATATATACACAGTTAAGAGCTACACACACACGGACACACACACACACACACACGAAACTTTTACATACAGAAGTTTTATATCTTTTCATTCAGGTTTTTCTTATTTATTCAGAATTAATCTTTGTTGCATATTCCTTGGTCATTTCCATCTTTAATATGCCCCCCCCCCCTAAAAATTAGTCTTTCATCTGACGTATATTGAAGTGAGAGTCTCATATTGTTTGCCTGTCTGTGTTTGCCTGTCTGTCTCTATTCACCCATCCCCTCCTCCTCCCTCGACCGGAACACTCAGCATGTAAGCTTTGTGATAAACCTTTAAAGCATACACTTGAACACTATATTATTGAATGTGACACTGTCAAAGACTTCAGGCCACCTGACTTATTGTATCTTGAACTATGTAATTACTTCATTGAATCAGGTGTGCTTGAGGACATTCTTGCTGTTTATCCCAAATTTGCTAGCCCACACTGATTAGTCTTCAGTTAGAGTATGACTCCAATGTATGTGATCCACTGACCTATATATACTGCTAATGAATATGATGTATTTCCTTCTTTGTGTACGAACCTCTGTCCTGCGTGGCAGTGAACAGTGACATTACCCACATGAATCTGACCTATATATAGTGTCAATGAATATGATGCATTCTTTGTATACGAACCTCTGTCCTGTATGGCAGTGAAAAGTGACATTACCCACATGAATCTGACCGACGTATATGTATGTATGTGTGCGTGTGTGTAAATATATGTACATGTATATGTGTATGTATATATGTATATGTATGTATATGTGTGTGTGTGTGTGTACATATATATGTCAATGAATATGATGGTACGAACCTCTGTCCTGCATGGCAGTGAACAGTGACATTACCCATATGAATCTGACCTCTATACATTTATAGCTGTTAATGAATATGATGTATTTCTTTGTGTATGAACCTCTGTCCTGCGTGGCAGTGAGAAGTGATACCACCCTCAGTGTCAAGACCTGACTGAATTACTCAGAATAGGCAAACTGTACTCCAAGCTTTGCCAATAAATTTGTTGAACTAAAAACTCCCTCGACTTAAAAGAATAAAAATAAATGAATAATAAATAAATAAAAGAAAAGGAAAAGAAAAGAAAGAAAGAAAGAAGAAAAAAAAAAAAGAAAAAAGAAAGAGGTATAAATAAATAAATAAAAAGAAAGAAAGAAAAAGAAGAAAGTATAAATAAATAAATAAAAAGAAAAGAAGGGAAAGAAAAGAAAAAAGATCGTCTTCTCGTCTTAAATAACTTGGTGCATTTTTTCCCGACAAAGTTGTCTCAATCCGTCACCTTAAACAAATTTTGGTCCAGGTGAGAGTTAACCCAGGGTG